GCGAGAGGCCAGTATCTCGTTGTCGTTCAATTTCAGCTTGGCCACACCTGCCCCAAATCACAGCACTTGGAGATGCGAACCAACATCGCGCAACAGCAGGACACAGCACAGGTGCGCTTGATTGGATCGAAAACAAGCGCGGGAGAGAGAGACAGAGAGAGAGAGAGAGAGCGAGAGAGAGAGAGGGAGAGACAGAGAAAAAGAGAGACAGAAAGAGAGAGACAGACAGAGAGAGACAGACAGAAAGTGAGACAGAAAGTGTGCGGGAAAGTGAGAGGGAGAGAAGAAACCAGATCGGAAATCTGCAAGGGGACGAAGGTTAGGGTTCCAAAGCGTGTGAGAACAATTCAGTAGCTTCCGCACTACTTGTGAGCAAGCAGAAGCAAAACCCGCGAGCAGAAGGCCCGGCCGAAACGAAACCAAGGTGCATGCTACAGCGCTCGGTTTAAGCGAGCTGGGAACAGGGCGTCAAGAGTCAGGGGATGCGTCAGAAGAGCAACCCGGGAGAGAGGGAGGGAGACATGGACAGAGGGCTGCGATGCATGAGTACGGGCCTTGTGCGGCCGCCATGGCACGGCCCTGCCTTGTGTGGCAGGCAAGCATGGGAAGAGTCGGAGTGCCATACAGCAAAAGCCTTCGGATGCCTTACGCGCGTGTCTGTTGCTTCCGAGAAGCAAGTCCTCCGAGCGCGCGCGGAGGACACCGAAGGGCGACGGCTCAAGTTCCGTCGGAGTTCGCGGCGACGCCAGTGCGCTCTCCGCGGGGCTGCCCAAACTTTCCTTGGATGCATTCAGGGACACGTCGTAACGCGAAGCCCTGCTGCCTTCTGCAGGCCTTCCGGACTTAACGTCGCCTGCCGAGCATCCAGTGGCGACTCGTCACCACGATGCGACGAGCTCGGAGTGTCCTTCTGGCGGAGCTACCCCAACATCCAACAGCTAAGTCAGGGTGGCAGGAGCTGACGCTCAGCTGCTGGCGCTCTCTTTCGGGATGAAGAGCCTCAAATGTGCCGGTGGGCCGGCAATGCCGCTGCTCAACATCACTAAGTAAAACATCACTGCGGCAACTACGAAAATTCCGGGAACAACCTATAACAGCACTCAGCCCCCAGCATTGACAGCACCGGTCCACTGGCTTGGCTGTGATGCCGTACAGCCAACGCTTGGCCTACATGAAGACGGCCCCGGGATATCGCAACAACAACGTCAGCAGCAGCAGCAGCAGCAGCAGCAGCAGCAGCAGCAGCAGCAGCAGCAACAGCAACAGCAAGGCGGCATGATGTCTTCGACGCCCTCGTTTGCACTACACACACTCACAAAAACCAAGCCTTCATCACTGTCGAAAAAACGCAGGGCCCCGTCCATGGAGCCAGCCACAAAGAGGCTATCCGACAGGGGCGCCAAGCAGTTCACATCCCCAGAATCTGAAGTGGCAGTGATTGACATCCAGATGTCCTCGAAGCATGACACAATGCAAAGGTTGCGAGGGATCCCTGCCTACAGGTCCTACAGGTATGAGTTTATGTGACAGGCCCTACCCCTGGCTACACCATGGTGAGCTGCCCCGTCTTCACCCGACGTGTTCACCCCACCCATGCTTGGAAATGTTCTGGTCGCTCTGCTTCACTGGACCCATTCGGACCCATGCCTATCTGAGGTTGAGACCCCAATCAGTTTGAACCTTATCCTATCTGAGTGTCTTGACCGTCGATAACGGCCCAACTCTCCTGATGGGTGTCCGGGATCTCGCTCCTGAGGTGTTTCTTGTCAGTCGATGCAAACGTGGCGTTGACCCCGGAATGCAGACAAGTTGCGCAGCTTCCGGCGATTCGCCAACCAGTAGGTTCTTGGCGGCTTTTGGCGCTGATTCGACGCCTGTTTTGTGCTTACATTAGCTTCTGGATGTTTCGGGCGGTCAAGGTTCACATCATTCTGCCGAGATGCCCGTGAGAGCACTCAGACCAACTACCGGCCCACATTTCAGCGGAAACATCAATGTGTCAATCGCCTGGCCTCAGCTCAAGCTAGAGTCGCGTCAACACCAGTGGAAACTGAAAGCAAAGCATGGGCAAAGTCACAGCGCGAACCTGGGTCACGTTTCCCCCCGGGACGGCCCGAAAAAGCGGGCCACAACAGGTGAACAAATATGACTTTTACATCACCTCATCGGTGATGAGCATGTGTGTCCACGTACGTCCGTATGTCGTGCAGACGTTTCTGATCGGTTGGGGCTCTGGATTCTTGACGCGAAGCGTTCACACAACTCTTGCCATGCTATGGCACAACACACCTGGTATGCTGAGCTGAGCTGCCCTCCCCACGCGTGCGCCCGCAAAGGACGATGCTGTTCGGCGCGATTGGCAGCCACTCTTCCCGGATGTGTGTCAGAGGCTCAGATGAAAGAATTGCAGTGCAGCTCGTGATGTCGGCCTGAGCTATGTGGCGTGAGGGTTGACGCGACCAACGCATCACGAGTGCTGAGGCAGCAACGCCCTTCTTCATGCGGTAGGTTTGAGGGTCGTCATGCGAAGCCACCCACCGTGAGCCGACACCTCTGTCCAGCAGACCAAATGCAATTCCACATGACAGCTCAGAGCTCAGGACGCCATGATACGCATGATACGCCATGGCACTCAGATACAAGGTGGCCCCCAGTGGCTGCTCCTCGCCCTCCTGCGTCTCTGCTGGGGCGGTTCCGTAGCGACAGGCCACGATGCGCTGGCCATCCTCGGCGCCGAAAACGCGACCAGCCAACAAGCCATTGTTTGGCGGGCAGTTCGACTAAACAGCGGTATGCACGGGTGATCGCCACACTCACGGGCCCATCTTGACCAAGGTGCCGTCACCATCAGGTTCAACAGTGACTCCTCAGGGCTCGAAACCCCGAGAGAAACCCATGAATCATGAATCAGCTCTCACCCTCCAACACTGCCTCGGGCCCATATTCTGCCGCAGCTTGGGTCAGCCGAAGGACGGTCCTGCCAAAGGATGGCAGATCCGCGTTTGTTTGGCAACTCGCAGAATCGGTTTCCTACTTCCTGTTTTGCAGATTTCAACACTCTAGAGTGGACTTGGGTCGAAACACGGAACTGAACCCTTGTTGTCAATCCGTTTAACGCGCGTGTCTCCTGGATAAGGCACCGCAGAGCTGGTCGGCCGTGTGCTCCGCGGTTGCATCCTGCTCGCTTCTCACCCCCAGCTCTGTCAAGAAGATGCCGAAGGCAACCTCCGAACCACTTCGTCATTGGTGGTGCTACATTGTGCGCTCTCGAGTGGCAGCCGAAGCTAGTTTTATGTGGGGCATGAGGCAGGAGCATCCCCACAGTAACAAATAAAAATGCCGCTGCCACAGCAGTCAGAAGTGGCGAAGGCACCCTTGTACCAAAACCAACCAAGCTGCGACAGAGTCGATGCACGAGTGGTCCAGCGTGACGCTAAAGGCATACCTCACACCAGAGCAAGCAGTGGCAGCCGGAGCTACAGCTTGAGCTTGGAAAGTTGAGGAAGGCCGGAAAGCATAAACAGAAGCCAGCTAAGCAAGAGGAGGTGCTCATTCAACCCCGCCAGAAGTTGCCGCCGGATCTGAGAAAAATTCCCGACCAGGCCGTTGTGGGCAAACAGGAATCCTCGGGTGCGCAGCAGGAAAGGCAGTTGGATGCACAAGGATAAAGTCATCTTGGCCCCCTTTGTGGAGGAAAGCGGGGCTAGTTACACCAAGATGCGTCCGGCTTTGAATGGATGGCATGCAGCCTCGTTGACACTGGACGACCTGGGAATGCTCGGAGAAAGAGCAGCAGGCAATGACGATGGGCATACATGACGCAAGGCTGGCTGGCAGATCCGCGTTCGGCATGTGACCAAGGTTGCTGCGGACCCGCAGCGCGGATGTGCGCAAAGATGAGGGGCGATCGCACCTCAGCCCAAGGCCGCGTGCAGAAGAGCTTCAAACATCTACAAGGGTGCAATAGCAACAGCATCAAAACAGCAGCACTGCAGCAGCTAATCAATCGCACTTAAGAATGGCACCTCTTCAGAGAGGTTGCGAAGATTTGGATCGTTCCAGGCCTCAGCTGTCAGTTTCTTTACGAAAAAGCCTAAAGTGTTACTGCGCAACTCTGGCTACAAATCCGACAGTCAAGTCCTGCAATGCCATCAAGAGGCCGGCTTCAGTGATGTAAACACGCAGGGTAGCGGAGCTTGTTGAGCGTACCACCCGACACCAAAGCCATCTGCATTCCTCAGCACAACGATGTGGAGCACTCCTGTCACACGGGCCACAAAGCCAGACAACTGCTGTTGATCAGACGCGGATCAGGCAAGGCTGCTGATATGCCATGCCTCAGCACTGCTTGTGGTCCGCAAGAACGTAGTCTTGACAACATGATTGCACCACTGCTTCTTCCTGCTAATCGTGAAAGGTGCTCGGCGACACCCCCTGTGGCAACGCACGGCGCTCTCTTGCTGCATAGCTCTGATGGACCAAGGACATGCGCGGTCGAAGCAGAATATCTGCCAAGAGCACCTTAAAGTGCCGCATGGTGCCGCGCTTTATCGCGAAAAGCTTCTGACGGACCAGACTTATGAGTGGGTCGTGGGCTCACGATTTGCAAAACTCCTAATGTCACTTCGGCTGTGCTCCCAAGGCACATTGTCATCTGAGATGAGGGCGCACATACGGCACATGGCTGCTGCTCCCAGACAGCACCGTCACGTGAGGACGGTGCAGGCAGCATTCGGCAAATCAAATTGCAAGGTTGTCGCTTGTCACAGTTTGCACGCTGCAGAACTGAGTTTTTGACGAGTCCTACGGGCAGGCTCTGCTCATGTAGTCCTAAAATGCAGCCCAAAACCATGACATGGCACAGTGAAAAAGGCGTCATTTTGCTTAGGCAATGCCACTACAGTCAGCTCAGCTTTCTAAGCCTAACTGAGTCCAAGCAACAAAGGCGTCATATGCCATCCCCCAGGGTCTTTGTCAGCAACACAAGCTGGGCGCCGCGCCGTCGATCAACAGCTGAAGCAAAGGCAGCAAATAGGCAACCTACAGTGGTTTCGTGGAGTCACTACTTTGACGTGGTCTTGTTACGCGGGCGTGGGGAGCAAACTGTTTTGCCCGAGCCCGTTTGTGAGCAAACCATCACATCCTCGCGAGCCAGGAGAGCGCTGGAAAAGCCCAGAGAAACTTCATCGCAAATGTGACGACATGACATCCTTTCCATCAAGCAGCAAGGGCACGGCCCAGCTTTGCCTAGGCGGCTGTTAGGTCGGCGCTCTACTTTTGGGAAGCCCGAGGTCGACGCGACGCAGTTGGTCTCATCAGACCTGGCATGGCACCCAGAAAGCAGCTTTCGCCTGTGTTGAACTTATTTGACAGGACCACCCAATACGCCCCAGCCTTCCGAATGCAAGTTCTTCACCAGGTGGGGGTTCAACGCAGAGCCCCATTCATCACCTCAGTGACATGGCAGACTTAGCACATGGTGGACCAATGCGCCACAACATGCCACAACACCCTTTCTCAGAAAGCGACCAAGTTGGGCAACGGTTGGCGCAGGACTAACTTCTACAGGGATCGCTGCCTGACGTGGCACGCGTGGCACATGCTCACGATTCTCAGGACATCAGCGCAAGCGGACGGCCTGAGCTTCAAAAAACTTTGCCTGGAGCCACATGCGATCCACGCATCCCCCACGAAGTCATATGGCCCAGCACCTGCTCCTGAGACCCGTCACGGCGCTGCACCGTGCCTGACAATGGCACTTGTGTCTTACTATTCCGCACGCGACTGGCTTGTAACAGGAGTGACTGGGACAACACGCCTGGCGAGAACTTGTTCGTGGCAGGAGCCTTCGCCATGGAACCGCACGTGTCCAACATTGAAAGGGTTCGAAACCACACGACGAAGCAGTGTCCCACGGAGGTCCATGCACCACGCCTTCGCAGAGCGGGAAAACCTTGGCCATTGCACCCAACTGCACCCCCAACAACGAGTAAGCCACTCACTCCTAAACACTGGCACCCCGAAGCAGCCCAAGCACAGCACTTGTCAAGCTTTGGTCTCTTGCTTGGCTTGGCGGAGGGGCCGCGGAATCCTGGCCGCAGCATGCTGCAAGTCGCAGGCATGACACGCAAGCATCAAATAAGTTAAATACGACCTCCACGCATCTGTTCCGGACCCTGTGCAAACCACGGCGCATGTCGGCACACACCAAAACATGACCCGTCGGCTCTTTGTGGCAGGCGCCTTATCTTTCGATGGCCGTTGAGGCGGAGATCCTTTCTTGATGGCTGCATCATAAGGGTTTCATCGGAATCACCACCGCATGCACATCTTCAAAAGCCCACACCTTTTCTCGCATTGTTAGCCTCCGCACACTGCACCACCCAACAAGCAATGCACCCTGCATTTTGCGGCTAGTCACAAAATGGCATCATGGCTCTGCCACGCTGCATGCCAGTTTCTGCAGCTGCACGCTGTGCCTGGCGATGTGTCCAGCGCCCAGAACACCGAGGTAGCAACACGGCTGCCAGCGCCAGCCGCGCTTCCTCGGTGGGCGAATTTGGCAGCATCCAGCTACCCGCCGGATTTTTCTGTTCTTGTGCATTTCGGAACCACCCGGCGGCCGCCCTGATGACTGGGCAAGGAAAATGAATGAAAATGACCACCCATTCTGATGTGCTGGCTTGCGTCTAAACGATACTGTCGAGTGAGTGGCGAACTGTCCCAATTCGAGAGATTTTGAAATCCATTCTCAGGGTGCAAACAATGTTGAACCCCCCGAGCTCCAAGGAGATTCCAAGGAGTGCGCGCTGCGTCACGTGCCCGCGCTAGTCGCCGGACGACTCCAAGATTATTTGTTTTTTCCCGCACGCTCTGTTCCATTGATCCATACAATCGCGGTCCCCGTGCAAATGCCGACTCGACTCACGGCATGCGGGTAGCAAGGGGCGGCGGCTCGGACGAATCGGCAAGAAGGTCGCTGGCGAGGGGCAGCGCGCCATCGAGAGTGGAGGTGCCAGCCAGGGGCATGGCGAGGATCCTTGGCAATGGCATGGCTCGGGCCCTGCAGCGGGCGAGCTGCCTGACAAAGGTGGCAGCAATGCCGAGGACCGTGAGGTGGCAGCGACGTGACCGCACCAGCTCAGGGTAGGCGCGCTCTTTGGCGCTGCTAGACCCGGCGCCGGTCATGCTGTTGTGTGCGCCAGCCAGGCCTTCCCTGTTGTCATCCGCTCGCGCCCTCCTCTGGCGCCTCGTGGACTGCAATACCCTGTGAGCCGGCCTGCGTGCTTCCGCCCCAAGCCATGCTTTTGGCCCTACGCCGCCGTCTGCGCTTCCCACTGCCCCTGCGTGCCAGGCGTTGTGGCCCACCCGGCTGTGGAGGAGAAGTGGATGCTTTTGGCGATCACGCCCTCGCCTGCACCCGCACGGGCTTGATAGCTCGCAGGGCGAAAATCGCGGACGACGATCGGCGCCGCCTCGACTTCGTCTTGTATGGCGCCACCAGGCGCGGCGAGGCGCTGTGCTGCGATGTCACGCTCGTGTCACCCCTTCGCGCGGACGGGATGCCGCAGCCGGGAAGTCGCGATCGTGACGGCGCGGCAATCGAAGTCGCGCGGCGCCGGAAACTCGCACGGTACCCTGAGCTTGCTCGGCCCGGACCGCAAAGGCTCGTGGTGCTGGCATCTGAGGTCGGCGGGCGTTGGGGCAGCCAGGCCCACGATCTCCTGCGTCGCCTCGTTCGCGTGCGGTCCCTGCGAGCTCCCCCCGTGCAGCGCGCAGCTGCTACAGCAGGCTCGCAGCGCCGCTGGTGGGGGTTCCTGAGCTGCGCGCAGCAGCGCGCGCTAGCGTCCACGCTGCCGGGCGGCATCTGGCGCGCACCAGCGCAGCCGGGCGGCGATGGGCAGCCGACGCTCAGCGAAGTCGTCGAGCTTGCCGAGCCGGCGGCAGACTGGACATTTCCTGGCTGACGGAAAAAGGCGCGCGAACAAAAAAAACGTGGAACGCGGTGGTCCCCCAGCCAGTCGCAGCACGACATATCCAGATTACACCAGTGCTGAACCACATTCAGACCACTGCCAGGTGCATGAGATGAAGATGCATCAACGCATCGCGTGTAGCATCGATGGTTGCCAAAACGGCCAGCACGGCTGAACCACTTAACGGACTTGAAACGACTGATCTCTGCACGACAAAGCTGTTGAGGGGGAAAACCGTGTCCCTTGGGGCCCGTGGACTAAAAACCCCCCCAACCGAGCTCAATGAACGCTGGAGCAAGCTTGGGGCCTCCCTCCCGCTGCCCGAGCAAATCACCCCCGGGATCCCCAGGTGTCGGCTAGAGCGATGTAAATCCCTTCAGGACAACATTGCTAGCTCGGCCACATGACCGCCCCGCGGGTGTGGGGAAAATTTTGTTTTTTCACACACGCCTTCTTACGTCAGCAGTCTCCAACGGTCAGCGCAGCGGCAGGCGGCTGGGTCCTTCCACGTCAGCTAAAGCCAGGATCTCATCCAGCTCGCGCGTCCAAGGGCTGTGCAGCCGACCGCCTGCTGCACGGAGACGGAGCGGAGTGCCTTGTTGGACAGCACCAAAGCATGGGTAAAACATTTTTTTTTCGCACCTTTTTCCGCCAGCTGGAAGGAGTCCCTTCGCTACGGCCGCAGGGGCAGGCGACTGTGGCCCTCAGGGGCAGCGTGGTGGATGACGCTGTCGAGCGGCGGGCCTTCGCCAGCCTCAGGTTGCAGCGGCTGCCGCCAGGCACCTCCAAGAGCCGTACTGGCGACTGCCTGCTGCACCGCGACCGGAAGCATGCTCCACCAGCGCCTCGCCCAAGCTGCTGTCGCTGCCGCGCGCACGGGGAGGGGCGCGCGGTACGCCTTGAGACGCACCAGGTCTCGCACGAAGCCTCGGGCCTGAGCGTTCCAGCGGCCGCCCACCTCGGAGCCGAGCACGACGAGCGTTTGCGGCCCCCCTCGCGTGAGCTCCGGGTACGCGGCGTGCTTCGGCGCTCAGCCACCCGCAGCACGGCTCCGTCCACGGCCGCTGCGCACGGCTGCGGGTGCCCCGATCGCGTGAGCGGGGAAACCAGCGTGGCGTCGCAGCACTGCGCCCCCCCGCTGCGCAGCGCCCCGTACACGACGAGGTCGAGTCTGCGACGGTCCTGCGCTTCGACCTGCGGGGCGGTGGCGTTGGCCAGCCACTGCTGCGGAACGACTTGACCTTCCGACCCCACCCACCGCTTCCCGGGCGACCTGCTCCACGATCTTGGCCCGCCTGGCGAGGAGTCCAGTGCACGGGCACGCAAGTGCGTGGTCGCCGAAGCGGTCTACTGCGCCACGGCAGCCATGGGGCGGCCCGCAGGTGTTGCTGTGCAGAGGCAGAGGTTGTCGCAGGCGGCGCTTCAAAGCGATCTGCATCGCCATCGGTGGGAGCGTGGTGGCCGGCTCTGTGGGCTGCCTGCGGTCCTGCCTGGGATCGCAAGAGTGCCTGGGAACTGGGTGGCATGTCTGGCAGAAGCGTGCGTTCGCGGAAGTGCGTGTTGAGGGTTCGCGTCGCGCGCATCTGCCATCCATGCGGCCAGTCTCCGGGCCCTGCGTCGTCGGCTGGGGGCGGGCGCACCCCGTCCAACAAGGCGCTCCACGTGGGGCAGTTTGGCTTCGACTTGGAGCGGCCAGGAGCCCCCCAGCCGGCATCGGTGCCTAGCCTAGCCACGCTCCTGAGAATTTCCGGGCGCAGATCGGGTGTGGTCGACACTCTTGTTCAATTTGTTCTGTCAATCTGTCCCAGGCGCCCAGGCGAACTACAAGCCACCGACACGGAAAACATGTTCATGTGTTAAGTTAAGAAGCTTGATGTAGGGAAGCGAGCTGCGCAGCACCCCGTGATGCACGGACTACCGCGGCCTGTGGCGGGGACACGCATTATTCGCTGCGGCCCGCCCGCGGCAAGGCTGCTACTGGTGATGATGCTGCAACACACTGAAGGACAAAGCACCAGCCTTTTGGTCCTGAGCAAACACAGCTGCTGAGGAGGCTTGAAGCTCGCAGGAGCACCTGAATCAGCATGGCAAGGGGCACAGCACCATGAATTCATGAACCTCGCGGGTCTTTATGAGGCTTGAGCCAGACGTTGCCATGAGGGGCCATGTAGATCCTGCTGATACGTCGAAACTCCTCCACATGTTTCATCCCACTCGAAGATACACAAAAAAAATCCCAGCCTGCCGCGGTCTTCCTCGCTTGCGTCACCCTGGGCAGCAGGCTCGTGCCCCGCTCAAAGATCAAATCGGCAAATGTTCTGGCCTTGTGGCACTATACATATTCGTTGCATGTGGCTTAACGCTAAACATTGAACCATATGCATAAGTCTAGTATACTTCCTACTGGCTACTGGTCAGGGTTTCAAGCTCGTTTCGGAATGTCTTAACACGGCCCAAAAGCAATCCAGCAGCTTCATAGGATTCGGGTTCTTCATGGGAATGGGCTGGGAATGGTATGCTCCCGATCTTTTGCTTGTAGGCATGGGATGCCTTGTTTGGAGTGTTTGGCTTCGACTTGGAGCGGCCAGGAGCCCCCCAGCCGGCATCGGTGCCTAGCCACGCTCCTGAGAATTTCCGGGCGCTGATCGGGTGTGGTCGACACTCTTGTTCAATTTGTTCTGTCAATCTGTCCCAGGCGCCCAGGTGAACTACAAGCCACCGACACTTCACCAGTCTATGTATAGTGCCACAAGGCCAGAACATTTGCCGATTTGAACTTTGAGCGGGGCACGAGCCTGCTGCCCAGGGTGACGCAAGCGAGGAAGACCGCGGCAGGCTGGGACACGGGGCGTCTCGGCCCGCTCCCCCTTCCAGGGCCTCCCGGCACCGGCCTGCCAAATCGGGCGCACGAGCTCGCATGACCGGCAGCGCGTCTGCCCACGCAGCCCAGTACGCGGCCGGGGCTGTGCGTTGCGCGGATTGGAGGCCGAGTCCGCCGAGCACTGCTGGCAGCGTGGCTATGGGCCACGCGTGGGGCGCGTCGTCAAGGGGCTCTCCTCCACCCTCGTGACTCGGACGGGGGCAGCGTGCGGAGCGCATGGTTGGCACGAGTGGAGGCACACATGGAGAGGAGGAGCCAACTGCACTGCAGGTCGGTGCGCTCCGCCGCCCATGCTCGCACGAACTCGGGGTGTCCGATGGGACTACCCAGGATCAGCAGGCCTCTCTCAGGCGGTGGCTTGTCCCCTCGCCACACCGCGGCCCCCAGCTCGGGGATGCCGGCCGGCGGGGGGGTCTCTCCCAGCGTGAACGTCCTGGTTTTGCCGAGGTTGGAAGCGATGCCACAGTGGGTCTCGACTGTTGTCGTCGTGCTGTCCAGGGCCGCCCGCGCAAGCTTTGGGACTGTGACGACATAGAGGTCGTCCAGGAAGGCTAGCAAGGCATCGTCGCGGTGCAGCTTGGCCGCGGCTTGGCAGAGCGCCTCGTGTTGCCCCAGCGCGAACAGCGCCGGAGCAAGGGGATCGCCCTGCACGCAGCCTTCGCCTTGCGGCACGGTCCGGCACGCCCCC